TTGGTAATGTTTCAGATAATTAGCCAATTAACGAAACTATTATTTTTCACTCATTTAAATCTCGCGTTGTTAGTTAATGTTGTTTTAGGTGCCATTGGGTCAAGTGTGAATCTTCCCGATGAACAAAAGATCTGAACCCTATTCTGTCCTGTGCCATCCTCATGTGTCCTGACACAGAAGGACACATTGCAGCAGTCACTGTGTCAATCCACCTGGTCAAGGGTTTAACTGCCCTTTGCCAATCCTCCATGCTTCCTACTATCCTGTCCTTCCCAAGGAATATCCCCTCCTAGCAACATGCCCAAAGAATAAGAGGCAAAAATTCATCGTTCTTGCCTCCAAAGAGCACTCTGGCTGCAGCCTCTCCAAGATGTAGTTGTTTTTATTTTTTTTTTATAGTGCATGGGCTATTCAGTGCTCTTCTCCAACACCACAGTTCAAAGGCATCAGTTCTTCTTCTGTAATCCTTCTTCATTGTCCGGCTCTCAGATGCATAGCAAGTGATTGAAAGACTATCACCTGAGCCAGACACACCTTAATCCTCAAACCAGCAACATTACTCCTCAATAATTTGGCGAGGTCTCTAACTGCAGATTTTCTCAGTGCAATGCAGCTTCTTATTTCCTGACTGCTGGTAACCAAGCTGTTAATAGTGGATCTTGTAGCAAGATGAAGCTGTTGACAATTTCAATCTCCTCTTAATTCTTCATGATATTGCCTGTTGGTCCAGTGATAAGAATCTTTGTTTTATTGACATTGAGATGCAATCCATACCAAAGGCTGCAATTCTTGATCTTCTGCAATAAGAGTTTCAAGTTCTCCTCACTTTCAGCAAGCAAGGTTTTGCCACTTGCATAATATTGATGAGTCTCTCTCCAATCCTGCTGCCACTCTCCTCCTCAGAGTCCAGCTTCTTGAATAATTTGCTCAGCTTACAGATTAAATAGGTGTGGAGAGAAAACACCACCTTGACGCACTCCCTTCTTAATTTTAAGCTGTGCAGTGTTCCCTGCCCTGTTTGCACAACAGCCTCCTGGTCCAGGTATAATTTTCACATGAGCACATTTAAGTGCTCTGGGACTCCCTTTCTTCTCAGTGTCAACCACACAGTTATGATCCATACAGCCAAATGCCTTTGCATAGTCAATAAAGCAGACATAGACATTCTTCTGGTATTTCTTACTTTGAGCCCGATCCATCTAACATCAGCAATGATGTCCCTGGTGCCACAGACTCCTTTAAATCCTGCTGGAACTTCTGGCAGTTTCTTATCTATAAATCTCTATAAATAAATCTCATACCACTAGAGAAATCTTATTCTGCAGTAATAAAACTCCTATAATTATCTGTGCACAAGTCCTTCCACCTTTGACTGTATATATATATATATATTCAACACCTTTTGCAATGTCTGGTACAATATTATTATTGTTATTAAAAGATCCCTTGTGACTTTCTGCTTTGTTCCAGTTCTCTGTAACTCCATATTATATATTAAGTACAATTTCTACAAAGTTCCTGAAATTGTCATTTTAACTTTCGAAACAAGGAAAATGAGTTTTATAAAGTTGTTCTAACTTAGCAAGGTTAAATAATTGGGAATTTAAAGTTTTCATTTGTACTTTTCTGACAATCTGGTCTTTCCATTATATTGAACAACAAGTGGGTTGGTGATGAATCTTACACTGTATCAGAACAAAAAAAAATAGAATACTTTTAATTCATAGACATTTGAAAAGCAACAACACATACTTGGAGAATAGAGATAACATAATTTCCCGCAGGAGGAAAATACAAGGCTGTAATACACTTCCAATTACAAGATAAATAATAAGATCAGGTTGTGCAACTGAAGTGGTGCTTTGTCCTGACATCTACCTTTACACTAGGGAATGAAAAGAAAAGATGCGTGAAAATTACTGAGAATATTCTTTCTCTGTTGAACTATGTGACAATTCAATTAATATAACATACAGAATTGATCAATTTGAAGGGATTTCCTCTTAGTCAATGGCTATAAGACCAAGTTGATAATTGTTGGACATATTTCCCTTTGAAAATTAAATTTTTTCAGAATTTTTAGAAGAAAATCATCTTCTAAGAGTTCTTTATTTAACTGAGACACAAGTTTGTTAATGACCTGTTAGAAGAAGTAAAAATACAATGTTTTATTGTTAATGTGGAATTATTCCTTTGTTTGTAAAATAAAACTTTTATTATTGTTGTTGTTGTTATTTTTACTCTTTTTGTGTGTACCATCAAGTTGGATCTGACTGGTACAGGAGGAGATGGTCCCTCTTTCTTCAGCAGAGCATCTGGTGGATTTGAACAACACACCTCTGGGATTGCAGTGCACGTTCTTGTCACTAGGCCACCAGAGCTCACCTGTTGTTTTTTTTTTTATGAGTGCTAAAATAAGCTCCATGTTATACGTTTCATTGTAATACATACACGTTAGTATACACATACACACACATAAACCATATAAATGTTTAAGAAGTAGGAAGTGAGATGCATTTTATTTCTAAACAAAATAAATTCACTTTATTTTTAGGATCTTGATGAACTTTTGAAAACAAGTTATGTATTTGATTATCATCAGCTGAAACAGTCATATTTTTGAAACCTCAGTCAAAAACTAAATAATTGGCCCATAGAAACCAATATTGTTCAGTCAGTATTAAAAGTTAGCACCATTGTAAATTAAAAACATTTATCATAGAACTTACCTCCTGTTTACCAACTAGAATAGCAACTTATTATTGTTGATTGTTTTTTCCAACAAAAGGAATGATCTGATAAAATTCAAATACTCAGTTTAGAGACACTTTTCTAAAAAAAAAAAGTGAAATCATTGGCTAGCATTGTCAGAGAGTCGACCTTATAAACACTTGACGTAACAAAGAACTAAACCAATGGAAATTCCCCCACCCAACAACACAAATGACAGAAGATGCGTAAGGATTGGAGGGAGGTTCATCAATAACCTGCATTATGTAGATGACACAGCCTTGATGGTTGAAACTGAAGAGGACTTGAAGCACTTGTTCAGAATTTCATGGAATGCAGCCTTTGGTATGGATTGCTTCTCAATAGCAAGAAAACAAAAATTTTTACCATAGGATCAATAGGCAACATCAAGATGAATGGAGAGGAAATTGAAACTGTCAACATATTCATCTTGCTTGGATCCACAAATAATTCCCTTGGTACCAGCAGTCAGGAAATAAAGAGCAGCATTGCACTAGGAAAATCTGCAATTAGGGACCTCTCCAAATAATTGAGGAGTTATGATGTCAGTTTGAGGACTAGAGTATATCTGATTAAGGCCATGGTCTTTTTCATGTTTATTTGCTATGCATCTGAGAGCTGGACAGTGAACGAATAAGGATAACAGAAAAAGAATTGACACCTTTGAGCTATGGTGTTGGAGAAGAGCACTGAACATCTCATGGATGGATAAGAGAAGAAACATATGTCTTGGAGTGGGTGCAGCCAGAGTGCTCGTTGGAGGCAAGAATGATGAGGCTTCACCTTACATATTTTGCACATGTTGCTTGGAGGGGCTATTCTTTGGAGAGGGACCTTGTGCTTGGAAGGATGGCGGGTTGGAGAAGGAGAGGAAGACCCTCGACCAGGTGGCTTGACATGCATGGTGACTGCTACAATAGGCTCTAGTGTGTCTGGAAGTGTGAGGATGGCGCAGGATAGAACGGTGTTCAGATCTTTCGTTTAGAGGGTCACTATGTGTTGTACTCGACTCAATGGCACCTAATGACAACAGCAACAACAACGTAGCGATCAAGTTGGAACTGTCTCTATTACAGCTAGTCTTCTAATGAGTTTCCAAGGATGTAACATTTATGTGAAATTGCTCATCTTTCTCCCTCGGAACCACTGGTGGACTTGAACCTTCAGAGAGGTGTGGCCTTTCAGTTAGTAGCACAACTCCCTCTGGGCTACTGTCCAAGGACTCTCTGGTCATTCGGAGATCCTCTGCTGTCATTCATGTCGCTGCTCATCCAGAAGCTCGCATACTTATTAAAGCAAAAAACGACCTATGTGGACTGTTGGGAAGGCAACACCTTGAGAAGAATGAGTCGGAATGGGTAACAGAGTCAGTACTTATGATGTAGTTCTTCATTAGTTTATTTATCATAAAAAGGAGGGGTGGGGGGGATTGTGTACCAGGGAGGGAGTGTTTCTTTTACTTTTAAAAGTGAGGAGTGAACTGGGGGTCGGGGGGAGGGCTGGGTGGTGAGAGAAGTGCAGCAATGAATGAATGGAAATCCAAAATCTCTGCAAATGTTCATTAAAATTATTTTTTAAAAAGAATTAAACATAACAGAATTATATGAAAATCAATAAAAATATTTTTAGAAGGAAAAACAGAAGAATCTAGAGACATGAAAACTAAAGGTAGAATTTGAGAGGCAAATTTTTAAAAGTACAATTTATGGAATATGTATGCGCTACTTTCTAGTTTCAATGTCTAAAACAATGATGTTGATTACTTTTCACAAGGAAGAATGACAGAATGTGTACTAAGTCAGAAGATACTCCAGCTTCTTAGCTGTTAGAGGACACCTGGGTGTGCAGGAACAGAAGGAAATGAGGTCACAGAGTTTGCTAGGTGCATGTGTTCTATTAGAGGGAAATACAGCTGCTGCGACTCAGGAAAGGCAAACAAATGTTCGCTCAGCACGCTGCGTCTATTTGTAAAATTAATGGACTTCACAACCCTTTATAGGCAAAGCTGGGTGAACTACATTCTCAGAAATTGAACTTTGCTCATTCCACTGAATAAAAGATGTTGAATCTAGGTACTTGCAAAGGCAAGAAATACATGAATTTCTCAATGCTGAGAAACAAGAAGTTATAAACACTAGAAATGCCTTATGAATGTTTAAGAAATAATGACCATTGCTTCATTTTTCGCTTCCTAGCTACCCACTATCCTTCCAGTATGTTAATTTTCTTTTTATCTATTTAATGCCCCGCAGGCATTTTATCTCCTCACCGGCCTCACACTAGTATCGCATGTCCACTATCCAGAACCTCCAATCTTTCGACCCCTTTGCTGATGCAACTAAGGGTGACGACTTACTCCCGGCAGGGACTGAGCATTACATTCATATAAGGATCGAGCAACGGAACGGCCGGAAGACGCTGACAACTGTGCAGGGCATTGCGGATGATTATGACAAAAAGAAACTTGTGAAAGCTTTCAAAAAGAAATTTGCCTGTAATGGGACTGTGATTGAGCATCCCGAGTACGGGGAGGTTATTCAGCTTCAAGGTGACCAAAGGAAGAACATTTGCCAGTTTCTCTTGGAGATCGGCATTGTCAAGGAGGAACAGCTTAAGGTTCATGGATTCTAAAATGAATCTAAACACCTGGAGAATTTCTTGAATACTTTTGTTCTCTGCTCCAAGTTTGGCTGCCTTGTGAAATGATTCTCTGCAGTAAAAGGACTTTTCATCTATTTAATCATCCAAACTCCCGTTCACATCTGCATGATTCCAGAAAACACGGGGTATGTAGGCTAGTAGCACATAAGAAGATTGCAGGAGGATGGTAACAAAACCCCGTATTCATCTTAACATGTTTCCAATGGAAAAGATTTTGTTGTGAGTGTTTATTGTTTAGTTTATTGCTTTTCACTTGATTAAATGTATTTTTGTTGTATTAAAACCCTGTATGTTGTAGCTTAACAATAAAAAGAATATGTCTGAAAAAAAAAATAGAGTTATTTCTTAATGATTGCTTCCAAAGGAAAAAACACAGGGTAGGTTAAGTATTTCTTAGGTATCTGCTTCCTGCCAGGTTTTATATTTAGATCATTTTGAAATGATTACAGAAGATAACAGTAAGAATTTTATTTTTATTAAATGGATATTGAAATTTTATTTACTGTACTGTAATTTTCTGTTAAGTGTACTTTTTATGTGATTAGTTTATACTAAATATACAATTGTGGTGCGTCTGATACAGGCCATGGTCTTTGCACTCGCTTGTTATGCATCAGAGAATTGGACAATGACCAGGAAGGATGGAAGGAGAATTGATGCCTTTGACCTGTGGTGCTGGAGGAGATTATTGAAGAAGAAGGCCTAGTGGTGCAATGGTTATTACTCCCCTGCAACCTGCAAAGTCAGCAGGGGGAACTCACCAGTGACTTACTGGAGAAGAGGAACTTCTCCCATTCTGTCCTGTGGAGTTGTTAAGTATTGGAATTTGCTTCATAACTCACATATATATAAACATAATATTTGTAAAATGCATTTCTTTGCACTGAAAACTAGATTTTATGACAATTTCTCAAGCATTTAACAACAACCGTCTCCTAATTTAACAACTCTCTCTTTATCTGACATTTTATTTTTATGAATACTATAAAAAATCTATAATCCTACTATTTTGCAGATTAATGGCTTACATCTGGCAGTAACATGCAGAGTTCAGGGGCAAGACCAAAGGAGGCTGCGACAGTGACTCGTATGCTGACTGAACCTCAGTTCCCAGGGGGTTGGCAGTTATGCAATCATGAGTTCACCCCACTTCCTGAGCTGCTGTAGTCGTTCTCCAATTTCTAATTACAGCACTGTTCATACTTCAGAACTTTGGAACCTAATCACGTTGACAAGTGAGAAGATGGTGTATGTGATTCATTTTCAGGAACCCTTACTCTACCTTTACATTCATAGATAATGTGAATACACTTTAGATTGAGCAGATATGTAGTTCAATCAGTACTATTATTAATGTGGTATTTTTGATCCTGGGTTTTTCTTTTCCCCAACATTATTAGTTGGGCTACAATTTACTAGAATTTGTTTAGTTTGCTTACTGTTGTGTTAAGTGCCATCAAGTCGTAGGTGACGCATAGCAACCCTATGAACGAAAGTCCTGGACACCTGTATAACTTTCATCCTGTCTCCAGGTTCATAGGGTTTCTGGAGGCAAGCTATTTTGGAAGTGGATGCCACTCCTGCTTCCAAGTTTGTTTTAATCAGGGAGCTCCACCAAATACTGCCCACCTAGGGTAACGTATTTGACACATCGGTGTCATAGTGTTCAACTTCACAGCAGCCATGAGTTACCTCTGAACAGCAAGTGGACAGACCAGTGCTATATAACCTAGATGAATGTTTGAACAAAAACAAGGAAAACGGGCCACGGATTAAAAGTCACTCACCTTTGGCTTGGTAGCATCACTTTCTGCCCACTGGGCCAGCTGATTTCTATGCTGATGTTAAGTTTGATATAAACATAAATTAATTGCTAGAGATTAGTTGATTTGGTAACCACTTTTCCATTAATCGAATGGAGCAGCATTCTTCCAATAGCTGACTTACTTTTACTGTGATTAGTCGGAAAAATCATGGACCTACCTGATGTGGGTCATACTTGACTCGATGGCACCCAGTAACAACCACCACCCTGGTTAATGAGGTCAAGTTGGAAAACAAGTTAGGGGCTATACAACTAAAATTGGCAAAGTTCACTGAGCTGATTAATACCAAAGATCAAGGGGGAAAACACAACAGAGCTCAGTATCAAGGAAATAGCTTTAGGGGTGCAAGTGGTGAGAAACATGGGATCCTATAGGAAGCAGTAAGGGACCAAAAGACAGAGGGTGACAGTGAGGTATCAGGGAACCAGGGGACAGAGGGTGACAGGCAACGGGGACCACAGTATAGACTGTGACAGTGAGACATCTGGGGCAACGGGACAGAGGGTGACAGTGAGGTATCAGGGAACCAGGGGACAGAGGGTGACAGGCAACGGGGACCACAGTATAGACTGTGACAGTGAGACATCTGGGGTAACGGGACAGAGGGTGACAGTGAGACATCATGAGACCATGGGGCAGAGGGTGACAGTGAAACATCAGGGGACCATGGGCAGAGGGTGACAGACATCAGGGACCATGGCGCAAATGGTGACAAGTAGAGGTGGTCAACTGAGTTAAACATCTCTGAGCAGTAAGTTGTCAGCCATGCACAGACTTGGGCCCACAATATATAGGAGATGCATGTAAAATAATTTTGCCTCAAGCATTTTCACGCCTCATCCTGGCACTTGTCTCCAGTTTGTTGCAAAGCTGCCAGCTGAGATTTGAACCAGTGAGTATGGAGGACAAAACGTAGTTTTGGAAATGTATGAAGAGAGGCAGAAGAATGAACACAATCATATTGCACCTAACGTGAACTAGGGATACACCTGTTGTAAGAAAGTTTTGCCAGGTAAAACAGGAGACTAGTGTGTTATTTGAACATGGACTTGTGTTATGAAAACCTGTGGAGCTCGAACATAAGTTAAAGATTATGTGTTTGTTGTTGTTGCTGTTAGGTGCTGCTGAGTCAAGTATGACTCAAAACAATCCTCTGAACAACAGATCTGAACCAGGTCCTATTCTTTGTCATCGTCACAGTCTTTGACACATGTAAGCCCATTGGTGCAACCACTGTGTCAATCACTTGGTTGAGGGTCTTCCTCTCTTTCACAATCCCTCCACCTTCCCAATTATGATTCACTCTCCAAGGAAATGCCTTTCTTAGCAATGTGCCCGGAGAACGTGAGGCAAAGCTTTATCATCTTTGCCTTCAAGGATCACCCTACCTACACTTTTTCCAAGACATATCTGGTTTTTGTCAGTCCATAGGATATTAGACACCACAGTTCAAAGATATTAAGTCTTATCCTCATCCTAGTTTGCTGGCCAGCTCTCAGCATGATAGAAAGTGATTGAAAAGACCATGGCCTGAATTAGATACACTTCAGTCCTCAATAATTTGGAGAGGTCTCTGACTTCAGACTCTCAATGCAATACATCTCCTGATCTCTTGACTGCTGGTACCAAGTTTATTGATTGGTAATCCAAGTAAGAGAAAATCTTTGATAGTTTCAATCTTTTCTCTGTCATGATATTATCTATTGCTCCAATGGTAAGAAGTTTTGCTTACTTGACATTGAGATGCAATCCATATTGAAGGCTGCAATGTTTGATCTTCTGTGCCAAGGAAGTCATGTCTATGTCATTTTCAGTAAGCAGAGTTGTGTCATCTGCATAACAAAGGTTATTAATAAGTCATCTTCAAATCCTGCTATCACATTCTTCTTCACAGAGTTCATCTTATTGATTAATTTGATTAGTATATAGATTGAATACAAATGAAGAAAGGATATAACCTGGACATATGCCTTTCTTAACGTTAAGCTTTTGTTCTATTTGACAATAGCCTCTAAGGTTAGGTTTTGCATGAACGTAATTAAGGGTTCTGGGTCTTGTATTATTCTCAATGTTAGCCATAATGTGTTATATAAGCCAAAAGTCTGTACACTCAACGGTTATTGCTAACTGAGCTAACAACACTGAAGGCTGAAGAAGTGGAGGGAAACAGAGCTGCAGTGATTGGTGCTACAGCAAGCACTGAAGCAGGGTGCCAGGGCAGACTTCATGACACTAGAAGAAGTCATGACGGACAAGGTCATTCCAAGCGTAGCTGGTGCTTCTTGGCAGCCAACACACAGGGTGGAGCAGGCGCCTTGGGAAGTGTCGCCATTGGCCTTGGCCATTTCTGGGGAGGAGGTTGTCAGTGGAGCACACATACCCTGCCCGCAAAGGATTGTTGCCTCGAAAGCTATTGTAATGCTGATCCATAAATGACACTGACACAGAGCTGTCCGAATCTGCTGGGGGAGAACTTGACCGTTAAGTTAAAAGGCTAACCTGGTAGAGACAACGAACACAATTATAGGTAGGATGGCGATCGATGAACACACCCACGGAGGAACGCGTGCTCACACACCTGGTCACCCTCAGACCTGCCAACCACAGAGGAGTGGATACGAGGGACAAGGGACGGGGAAGGGGAATTCCTCTCCATATAAACAGGTTCAATGCTACATCGGTGCAATGCTAAATGGAGAGGCAGTAAGAGTGGAGGGGACTGAGGGACCTCAAATCTGTCTCCTTTCCTGTGTGTTTAACTGTTGGCATCTATAAGTATATTGTTCTTTTGAGTCACTGTAAACCTCACATAAATAAAGCTAGTAAATTCCCAACCTCGTGTGGCTTCTTGTGGACCTAAAAGGATTGAATAGTAGAACCCACACGTTGGCTGTCTTATTACTTTGTGTAATTTTGAGGCAAAAGTTTAATATCTTTGTTATCCATTGCTGAATAGCAATTAATTATACACCACTTTGGAGAAGAGTCTGGTGTTTCTCAAAAATGAAAAAATAAAATTAGCATACGTGTCAGCAGTGTCACCTGTAGGTGGATATCAAAGCGAGACAGACACCTGTGTCCACACGGATTTGCCTCTGCAGTGTTGATCATCAGAACCTAAAACTAAAGTGGATCAAAATGTGATATGAGAGTCTAAAATCAGAGGCATTTGGTGGGTGTATAAACTAAGTAATCCAAAAACAGAGCTTAAATTCCATTGTAAAGCCTTGAGTCTGGGAATTGCAATAAATTTTTAAAAATTGGCTTTTCAAATGGTTGTGCCCTTAACTTTACTGCTGACTTGGGAAAATGTACCTTAAAGACATACTTTTTGCTTTGATGTCTGGCCTGTGCAGGATACGTAATGTGTTACCAAAGGATCTTTGTCGTCATAAACAAATATGTACAACAGTTCCTAGTGCAGGCTGAAAGGGTCTTAGATACAGCGTTGTTGATAATTCCTTACAGCGGACTTCTAAAATCAGAGTGAGAA